AAATATCGTAGGCGCCGAAAACATTAGCCTATCCAACGCTGCTAGGCTAGGCCTAGCCTTACCTCAATTTAGTTTTGTTATCACACATAAAAACGGCCGTCATGATATTTTCCGTTGCTAGTATTGACACTTGTGAAATATAATATTTCATAGGAATTATTTCAAATTTGTTAAAAAACTGATTCTGACCAAGATTTTGACACTTAAACAAACATATCTCAGCCTAATCGTGCGAGATGCGAAGTACAAAACTAATCTCATTAGAGAGGGCACACTCTATTGACTGTATAAAGTATACATAAAAGCGAGAGTATTCCAGTGGCTGCGATCTACAACCTCTGAATTTGCCTAGTAACGATGAATTCGTCGAGAAAATGGTAATTTTATGAGAAATAGTCTGTATTTCTCATTTTTTTTATTCTTTTGCGTAAAACTAAAATTCATGCCAATATTTTTCCATGATTTATAATAATTGGAGTAATGCAAATGCATATTTTCTAAAAAAAGTCAGTTTTTAGTGAAATTTTGCCGGGAATGGGGCTTTAACGCGTAGACCTACTGATTAAAAATCAGCATACGCACAAAATATAAATATATATGCACACAGAGTATACTGATCATACAGTATCACTATAGCAACTGATGACTGGTACAACACAGTTAATTATAAATTAAAAACTAACATTAAAAGACGGCGATTGACTTATAAAGCAATTAGTAGAGCATGCATTGTGCAGGAGCAGGTCAAACGGCAAAAAAACCATAACGGCAATGACAACTACAAAAACGGCAATAGGCATAGACTAGACCATGACTAGACCAAAACGGCAAAGGAGCAAAAATCAATGCCAAGAATGAAGCGCCACCGCGGTGCACCGGGCGCAGGCAGCAGTTTATAACTTTCTGAATCGTGTTTTGTTTTTTGTTATGTTTTGTTTGTTTGTTTTACACATCCATGACTAGGCCTATTTAATATTATTTTTAAGTGTTACTTATTATTATTCAAGCATTCGTATAATAATTTTCCTATAGTGTACTAATACTAGGAATATGTGGAGCTCTACTAGGCCTAGGCCTAACTGCTTATTTGGGCATTGTCATTGAATATCTCGCGCCCGAACTGGTGCGCGCCCGAACCGGACGTCATTTGTCTAGCTTAGGCTAGGTAGGCCTAGCCTCGCCTAGGCTAGACCGAATACATAATACTACTACTAGCCTAGGCTAGGCTAACAAATTCTACCTAGCCTAGCCTAGGGCCCGGAGCCTAGCTAGGCTTAGGCCTACCTGCTCCTTCTATTGTACCGCCTTCCACCTCCTCCATATCCCCCGTATTGTCTTCTTGTTGGTGGCCTTCGATCAGGTCGTCTATAACGGGCTTCTTGTACCCTAATTTCTCTACCATCAAGCATACTTCCATCCATTCTGTCAATCGCATCTTCACCACAACGCCTGCTCGTAAAGCGAACGAAGGCAAAGCCACGACTTTCCCTCGTGTGCCTGTCCCGAGGTATATAAACATCTCCTACTTCTCCATATTTTCCGAACGCCCTTTCTAAATCTTCGAGCGTGGTTCTATATGTGAGATTGTCTACTTTGAGAGAGTACATTCCATCGATATCTGGTGGACTCCTTCGACTCATTTTGTTGAACAGTTTATTAACT